GAATTTAGCTCTGCTAAGGCACATATATTAGGACTATTAAGGATGTTTAAAAACATTCCTACACTTAAGGCAAGTATAATGTGTTTCCATCCTCCCTCTACTTCTATTTTTATGAGAAGCTGAGTTAGGGTTTAAGCATTAATGGTGATTCTTAATCCATTTGAGTTATGAATCTGAAACTATTGATTAAAATAAATATAATGAGAGTTGTTTAGGGTATCTAAACTCAACATTAATGATTTTGTAAGTAGTTAGTAGTTAGGAGTCATTAATAAGCGAATTTTAAAATAAATGAGGTGGTTGAAAGTGTTTAATGTTCATTAATGATAGTTTAATGATTCATCGATGATAATATAGGTCAATAAGCCCTAGTAAACCCATTGGGTATAATGAGTAGTGAATTTATGCGGTTGATAAAATAGAGAATGTGAAATTTAGTGTCGGTGATTACCCAAAAATGGGATAATAATAATATCCTTGTGAAATGATTACAGATAATTATTTTTGACATCGTTCAAGCTTGAAAAGAAGCTTTAGAAGTTGGTTACTATGAGGGATAAACTTTTAACTTTTTAAAGATTTGAGGTAATTGAGGAAAAGCTATTTTGTATAGTTATACGTTAATTAAATAATTGTGGAAAATCAATAATTTGAAACTTGGTTGATATGAAAAATTATTGTTGCAACTGCGTTAATGTGGCTATAGTGTAAAATGAGTCTTGTACATGGGCATGAAAAATTGATTTGCGTGTTTAGATGTTTATGATTGATGTTGGTGTTAAGAAGATGTTTAGATGAGAATGATAGAATGATTTTTAATGTGGAGTGCAAAGTAGAAAGAGTATGCTCATGGATGAGATGGATTGTGGATTAGAATGTATAATATATGTAAGTTGTGGATATCATGATCATTAGTGGGAGTTCGCCTAGAAAGAAAAGTATATGGTTAAATTCATGTGGTATTAACAACTTATTGTTGGAATCGAAAGCTTGCCTTGGCATTGACCGTTATAATTAGAAGGTAGCTCTTATCTCATAATTGATTCAGGATTGTTCTATTTATTCTATAAGGGACTCAAACCTAACTAATCTCCATTGGCTTATGAGGAGGCTGGATTAGAGATATGACATCGTATGATTGTTAGTATTAGGAGAAATTGTGTTACACAAGTTAGTGAGTTAACCATGACCTCGTAGCTTCTCATGAGTAAAAGGTTGGGTTAGTTCATGATGGATGTAGCCATTGGTTTCATGTTAGAGGTAACAAGAGGGTATAAGGCTGTCATTTGATCATGCATTTAGTTTCAGCCACATGATTATTAGTATTGTGGTCCGGTATGTATTAAGGGCTCATAGTTGTTAGTTTTGCAACCTTATATTATGCATAATTGACATGTGTTTATACTCGATCAAATGGTTATTATTGTTGTGACCATGGCTATATGTGCCATACACGCGATATATGTGTATTGCCATTTGCATATGTTTTTAATTGATATGCAATTATACAGTCTAGGTGAAACTTTGTTATTGAGTTGTTGTACTCACCCTCAATTTTTAATATTTTTAGGGCCTAGCTCATAGAATATAAATCGAGGAAAGCATAGTAAGGCTTAGGATTTCGGTGTAAATCCTACTCATATGCCTCTTTGCTTTGTTTTATGAGTATTAATGTTGTTACTTTGCCAACTTAGACTTATATGATTGTTTTGGGCTACCTGTATTATTATTGTGTACAGCCTGTGTATTTTGTACCATGTTAGTGAGTTTTGATTGTAAATACAGGGCTAAAAACACTTGTGCAAATAATGCTATGTGTATTTTGGGATGTTTTGAAATGAAAATGAATGATTTGTGCAAATATTTCCTCCCCTTGTGTTTTATAAAATTTGGGATTGAGTGGTGAATTTGAGTGTGGTGTGTTATGTAACATCCTGATTTTTATATAATAAAGAAATTGTGGCATTTAGGTTTTGAGGAAAAAAATGATAATAATAGGAATTTATATTATTTGAGGTTATTTAGAAATAATATTATGATTAGGTATTTAATTATGAATTTAAAATTTTAAATTTAAAACCACATAAGCAAAATTTAGTTAAGATATAATACATAAATAATTTTTTTTATGTGTGTGTTAAAAAAAAAAGAGAAGGTAGAAGGAACAAAAAAAAGGGGGGGTGGAAGGTTGTTGTTTCTAAGTCCCACATTGGTTAGATGAGGGAAGAGAAGAGGTGCCTTCATGTATAAAAAGGAGGGGGTGTGTGCATTAGGAAGCATGAGAGGCTAAGATGCAATTTAGAGAAAATTGCAACTTTGGGCCCAAAGGTTTGAATAATTAAATTCAAACCTATAGTTTTTTTTAATATAATTTTGGGACTCACAATCCCATTTTTATATTATTTTTCTCTCTTCCTCTCACGTTGCTCGGCGTTTTCTCGCAAGGGGGGATTATTTTCTTTTTTCTTCAGGTATGTTCTAACTTTCCTGTTTAGATTAGCATTTAAAAATTTATTTAATTACAAAATTAATTTTATAGTTATTTTCTAAATAATATTAGCTTTCTAGTGATATGATTATTTTGTAGGATAGAGTAAATATTTTGATTAGGATTTTTCTATAGGATAGTTAATCTGATGATATGATGGATTAAAAATATAGGTTAAAATTCTTAGGGATATAGTAAATATTATAGAATATTTTCTTAAGGTTGAAACTCATGTTTAAGAATTTTTGAGTTAAAATCTAGATCTATATGGTTGAATTTATGTGGAATCTGAGATGTAGGGATAAATCTATGATTATTAAATATTTATTTAAGTATGAATAGGTATTTTTGAGGTTATAGAAAGGTGATTTGAGGCTTCAGGATAATTCTAAAATTTTTAATTTATTTTTAGATGAATTTTTAGAATGTAGAAGGATGAAATTGCGATACTAGAAGTGAATTGAGGATAAAAAAAAAATAGTTCATTAGGGTACGAGAATTTTAGAAAAGAATTTGGGAAGTTAAATAGGCATAAATCTTAAATTAGTGTTAATATGGACTATAGATTTAAGACTTTCTAACTCTTTAAATTAGAGTTATTTATTTTAATGTAAAATTAATATATAGTATTGTGAAATAATTATGTAGATTATATTGACAAAGATAGTGGTGAAAAAGGAGTTGTGAAGGGGAACTTGTTATTCAAGACACAAGGTAACCATTATTAATGTGTTGTGATGAGTGTGTTTGTGAATGGTTATGTGTTGTTTTGTTGTTTGGAAAAATTATGAATTATTGAAAATAAATACTGTATATACTTGTTTGAAATTATTGCCAAGTGGGTTAAAAATTTATTTTTGTTTATCATGATGAGATATTATTGTTCGGATATATTCCTGTTTGGATATTTGAATGATGCATGACTTGTCAGGGTATTTTAATGTATGGTGTTAATGGGAATTTCTGTTCGGTTAATTATTACCACGTGGTAAGCCCTCATTGGACCCAATGAGTGGCGTGTCGCTTGGTCCAACTCACCTTTGGCCGGGTGATTTGGCGTCCGAGCATGGCGAAAGGAGGATATAAGGTGCAGTCATGCAAATTAAATACTTGTTCGGTTTGTTTGAAAGTATTGTTCGGTTAAATGTTTTGTGTGCCCACTTAGCAATCGCATGATTAGTTACATCCGCATGCATCATTACATATTAATTTTTGGTTACTGGGACTTTTAAGTCTCATTCCCCGTGGTTAATATTTTTACAGGAGCGAATCCGGCCGAGAAAGCACCAGAGGTGTAATTATGGTGTATGAGACACCATCTTTTACGTTGCCTCTTATTTTGGATTATACAATGTATCTTGTGCCAACTTAGGACATATCTTGTCTATGGAGCATGTAAACTCTAATTCTTTTTATTAAATGCATTTATATGTCCAAGAGGATTATGTCTGTCCCTTTTGATTCATGACCTAATTTAAATAACATGCTATGAGGATCATGTCTGTCCCTCATGGTTCTAATTGCTTTTTGAGATATTTTAAGACCTGTGGTATATTGTCTTGGATGTATCATGGTAGAAATTTTTCTACCATGATAAGGGTATGATAAGGGTTCAATGAAAAAAAAATGATTTCTTGAATTAATAATTTGCGAAAAATCGGTTTGTAAATTTGAGGGTGTTTTATATTGGTATCAGAGCATATAGTCGGTTGGCAATATACATTGTTATGGTGCTTCTCATTGTATGGCCATGATATAGCTAGGCTAATTTTATTATTTATATCTTGCATCCTTTAGGAGGGGAGAGAAAATGCCTGTTACTCGTGGTAACTCAGGATTCCAACATGAGCACCTACCACCGCCACTGCCAAATGAGGAGCCTGACTTGGCGGAATTAAGAATGCTTGTAAAAACATTAACAGACAAGGTTCAAGGATACGAACAAGAGTTGACGGAGCTAAAGAGGCAAAAGGTAACTGAAAATGGAGATAGGGCTCATGTTGAGAGTCATGTGGGGGAAGGCAGTTCCTCACATCCTGCCACTCTGAGAGATCATGAGTCTAGAAGGAAAGAAATTAGGCAGGAGGAACAGAGAGCCCCACCGACCATTACTGATGTGTGGGAAACTGTTAGGAAGTTTAACCCTCCTACGTTTGATGGTAACCTTAAACCATCCGTGGTAGAGGAATGGGTGAAGAGACTCGAATCCATCTTTCGAGTAGTCACATGCACCAGCAATCAAAAAGTACAAGTAGCATTAGTGCTCCTAGTGAAAGGAGCAAGAGATTGGTGGGAGACAGCAGGGCCCAGGGATGATTCTACACTCACCTGGGAGGAATTCAAGGAAAAATTATTCAGGCATTACTTTCCATCAGAGTTAAGGTCTGAGAAGGAAGCGGAATTCCATGCCTTTAAGCAAGGGAACCTCGATGAGGACACATTCATTGCTAAGTTTCAGGAGTTATCTAGATACTCCACGTACCTGCAGTATAGGGATGATTCCGAATGGAAGGCTAAGCGCTTATTGGAGAAGGCTAGACCAGAATTGAGGGAACAATTGGCTCATCTAGATATCCGAGATTATGATGAAATGTGCATAAAACTACAAGTAGTAGCTCGCAGTAAGAAGGAGGTTGAGAGAGAGAAGAGGGGTTATTCATATAGTAGACCCCCAACCTACCCTCGACCCACCGGAGGCATTATGAAGAAAAACCATCAGGGTTCGAGTAGCTCATGGAACCAAGGAAGGCAGAAGGGTCCATTTCAAAGGGGCCAAGGACAGAGGAGCTATCATAGTAGTTATTACGGGTCACAGAGGAGCCCAACAGTATCTACCCCTGCCCTGAGTACAGCGAGCTCTCAACAGTGCACTAAATGCGGGCGTCGTCATTTCGGACAGTGCTGGATCTGTTACATTTGTGGGAAACCCGGTCACATTGCAAAGTTTTGTGGGGACAACCAGGGCTCAAATATGAAGAACCCTTCCCAACATCCTACTGTCTCTGGTCGTGTGTTTGCTCTTACTCAGGACACCATGAACTCCCCAGATGCCATTAGAGGTAACATCAAAATCCTTCATCATGATATTGTTGCACTATTTGATTCGGGTGCTACACACTCTTTTATTTCTGAAACTTGTGTAAAGAACCTTGATTTGCCTGTGTGTATTTTACCGTTTGATATGAATGTGTCTACTCCTGCGGGAGAATCTGTGAGGACCGCTAAGGCATGCCTTAACCTAGTAGTCGAGTTTAAAAATAGGAAAACAACTATGGACTTAATTATCCTACCACTGAGAGGTATGGATGTAATTGTGGGAATGAATTGGATGGCTGCAAATGGTGCTATCCTAGATTGTAGAGAGAGGAGTGTGTCTTTATCTTCTTTGTCGGTGACCCCAGTCGAGACTCAAGATCATGTTTTCTTGTCGGCGGCGCAAGTTGATAGATGTATGAAGAAGGGTTGCCAGGCCTACATGGTTTTCTTCTCTATCCAAGCTAGATTGATGAAGGCGTGAAGAATATCCCAATTGTCAAAGAATTTGCGGATGTATTTCCAGACGAAGTCTCCGGTTTACCCCCAAAGCGCGAGGTAGAGTTCTCAATTGAATTGGTACCCGGTACAGGGCCAATTTCTAAGGCTCCTTATCGGATGTCCCCTTTAGAGTTAGCGGAACTGAAAAAGGCAAATCGAAGAGCTACTTGAGAAGGGTTTCATCAGACCGAGTGTTTCACCTTGGGGATCTCCAGTCCTTTTTGTAAAGAAGAAGGACGGAAGCCTCCGATTGTGCATTGATTATAGACAATTGAACAAAGTAACCATCAAGAACAAATATCCACTTCCGAGAATCGATGATTTGCTGGATCAGCTTGTGGGATCCGCAGTTTTCTCAAAGATTGACTTAAGGTCAGGGTACCACCAATTGAGAGTGAGAGCAGAGGATATACCTAAGACAGCATTTCGGACGAGATATGGGCATTATGAATTCATGGTGATGCCGTTTGGACTTACGAATGCTCCTGCGGTATTCATGGATTACATGAATAGGATCTTTCGACCCTATTTAGATAAGTTTGTAGTAGTGTTTATTGATGACATTCTTATTTATTCAAAGGATGAGGAGGCTCATGGTGAACATTTAAGAATCGTCTTGCAAGTTTTGAGGGAACATAAGCTTTATGCCAAATTAAGCAAGTGTGAATTTTGGCTCCAAGAAGTAAAGTTTTTGGGCCATGTTGTGTCCAGAGATGGAGTTGCGGTGGATCCTAGCAAGATTGATGCAGTGATGAAGTGGGAACAGCCAAAATCTGTTACAGAGATACGAAGCTTTTTAGGTCTAGCAGGTTATTATCGTCGCTTTATTAAGGGATTTTCGCAAATTGCGATGCCCTTAACTAAGCTAACTAAGAAGGATGCCCCATTTATTTGGACTGACAAATGTGAAGCTGCTTTCCAAGAATTGAAAAAGAGGTTAACCACTACTCCAGTATTGACTATTCCTGACCCTGTGGTGCCGTACACTCTGTACACTGATGCTTCTTTAAAGGGTTTAGGATGTGTTTTGATGCAAAATGACCGAGTGGTTGCCTATTCCTCCAGACAGTTGAGACCACACGAGGAAAATTACCCTACTCATGATTTGGAGTTAGCTGCAGTTGTGTTTGCTCTAAAGATATGGAGACACTACTTGTATGGATCTAAGTTTCAAATCTTCAGTGACCATAAGAGCCTGAAGTATTTATTTGATCAAAAAGAGCTTAATATGAGGCAGCGACGATGGATGGAATTTCTAAAGGATTATGACTTTGAATTACATTACCATCCGGGTAAGGCTAACGTGGTAGCTGATGCCTTAAGTAGAAAGACTATTCATGCTGCACATTTGATGGTTCATGAATATCATTTATGGAACAGTTTTCATGATGTTCCAGTAGATGTGATTGAACATCAAATGGCCGCACTCCAGGTAGCAGACTTTGAGAGCAAATTCTGGGAAGATCTCAGAGTCTCACAGCAAAGTGATGACTACTTAAGGAATATAAGGAAGGAGATAGTGGTAGGTAAGGCCCCAAATTTTACCATCTCTGAGGACACAGTGATGAAGTATAAAGGTAGAGTTTGTGTACCTAATGATCCAAGATTGAGGAATATCCTTTTAGAAGAAGCTCATAGGAGCAAATATACAATTCATCCCGGTATAACTAAAATGTACCATGATTTGAAGCGAGGTTGGTGGTGGCCAGGAATGAAGAAAGATGTAACTGAATTTGTTTCTAGATGTTTAACGTGTCAGAAGATAAAGATAGAACATCAGAAGCCAGCTGGAACACTGCAACCGTTAGATATTCCAAAGTGGAAATGGGATGATATTTCTATGGATTTCATCACTGGACTGCCAAGAACACCCTCGAGTAAGGATGCTATTTGGGTGATAGTAGACCGACTCACCAAATCAGCTCACTTTTTGGCGATCAAGTTTACCTCTACATTAGAGAAATTTGCTGAGATATACATTAAGGAGATAGTTAGACTTCATGGTATACCCTCTAGAATTGTGTCAGATCGTGACCCAAGGTTCACTTCAAACTTTTGGGGTGCGCTACAGAAGGCTATGGGTACCAGACTGAGTTTTAGCACCGCATACCACCCCCAAACAGATGGACAAACAGAGAGGACGATCCAGACTTTGGAGGACATGTTGAGAGCTTGTGCCATTGAACTACCAGGTAGTTGGGATAATCATTTGCCATTAGCTGAATTTGCTTATAATAACAGCTATCATTCTAGTATTGGGATGGCGCCTTATGAGGCCTTGTATGGAAGGAAGTGTAGATCGCCTTTATGTTGGACAGAATTAAGTGAGAGGAGTATCATTGGTCCAGAAATTGTAGAGCAAACCACCCAGAAGATTGCAATGATTAAGCAAAAATTGCTAACCGCTCAGAGCCGACAGAAGAGCTATGCTGATAAGAGGAGACGGCCGTTAGAGTTTGAAGTAGGAGATCATGTATTTTTGAAGGTTTCTCCAGTGACAGGCATTGGTAGATCCATTAAGGCAAAGAAATTGACACCTAGATTTATGGGCCCGTATGAGATCTTGGAGCGAATTGGATCTACTGCATATAGAGTTGCATTACCTCCACAGATTGCAGGTATCCATAATGTGTTCCACGTATCACAGTTGAAGAAGTACAACCCGGATCCCTCCCATGTTATTGAACTTGAAGAAGTAGAATTGAGGGAGAATTTGACCTTTAGATCCGAACCGGAGCGAATTGAGGACTTTAAGGACAAACAACTACGCAATAAGACCATCCGACTCGTGAAGGTGATTTGGAAGGGTGGAGCCCTAGGTGATGCTACTTGGGAGACCGAGGAGAGTATGAGGCGAGATTATCCACATTTATTTGCTTAGGTACATAGTTTCTAAGCTTATCTATTAAATTTTGAGGACAAAATTTCTAAAAGGAGGGGAGAATTGTAACATCCTGATTTTTATATAATAAAGAAATTGTGGAATTTAGGTTTTGAGGAAAAAAATGATAATAATAGGAATTTATATTATTTGAGGTTATTTAGAAATAATATTATGATTAGGTATTTAATTATGAATTTAAAATTTTAAATTTAAAACCACATAAGCAAATTTAGTTAAGATATAATACATAAATAATTTTTTTATGTGTGTGTTAAAAAAAAAAGAGAAGGTAGAAGGAACAAAAAAAAAGGGGGGGTGGAAGGTTGTTGTTTCTAAGTCCCACATTGGTTAGATGAGGGAAGAGAAGAGGTGCCTTCATGTATAAAAAGGAGGGGGTGTGTGCATTAGGAAGCATGAGAGGCTAAGATGCAATTTAGAGAAAATTGCAACTTTGGGCCCAAAGGTTTGAATAATTAAATTCAAACCTATAGTTTTTTTTAATATAATTTTGGGACTCACAATCCCATTTTTATATTATTTTTCTCTCTTCCTCTCACGTTGCTCGGCGTTTTCTCGCAAGGGGGGATTATTTTCTTTTTTCTTCAGGTATGTTCTAACTTTCCTGTTTAGATTAGCATTTAAAAATTTATTTAATTACAAAATTAATTTTATAGTTATTTTCTAAATAATATTAGCTTTCTAGTGATATGATTATTTTGTAGGATAGAGTAAATATTTTGATTAGGATTTTTCTATAGGATAGTTAATCTGATGATATGATGGATTAAAAATATAGGTTAAAATTCTTAGGGATATAGTAAATATTATAGAATATTTTCTTAAGGTTGAAACTCATGTTTAAGAATTTTTGAGTTAAAATCTAGATCTATATGGTTGAATTTATGTGGAATCTGAGATGTAGGGATAAATCTATGATTATTAAATATTTATTTAAGTATGAATAGGTATTTTTGAGGTTATAGAAAGGTGATTTGAGGCTTCAGGATAATTCTAAAATTTTTAATTTATTTTTAGATGAATTTTTAGAATGTAGAAGGATGAAATTGCGATACTAGAAGTGAATTGAGGATAAAAAAAAATAGTTCATTAGGGTACGAGAATTTTAGAAAAGAATTTGGGAAGTTAAATAAGGCATAAATCTTAAATTAGTGTTAATATGGACTATAGATTTAAGACTTTCTAACTCTTTAAATTAGAGTTATTTATTTTAATGTAAAATTAATATATAGTATTGTGAAATAATTATGTAGATTATATTACAAAGATAGTGGTGAAAAAGGAGTTGTGAAGGGGAACTTGTTATTCAAGACACAAGGTAACCATTATTAATGTGTTGTGATGAGTGTGTTTGTGAATGGTTATGTGTTGTTTTGTTGTTTGGAAAAATTATGAATTATTGAAAATAAATACTGTATATACTTGTTTGAAATTATTGCCAAGTGGGTTAAAAATTTATTTTTGTTTATCATGATGAGATATTATTGTTCGGATATATTCCTGTTTGGATATTTGAATGATGCATGACTTGTCAGGGTATTTTAATGTATGGTGTTAATGGGAATTTCTGTTCGGTTAATTATTACCACGTGGTAAGCCCTCATTGGACCCAATGAGTGGCGTGTCGCTTGGTCCAACTCACCTTTGGCCGGGTGATTTGGCGTCCGAGCATGGCGAAAGGAGGATATAAGGTGCAGTCATGCAAATTAAATACTTGTTCGGTTTGTTTGAAAGTATTGTTCGGTTAAATGTTTTGTGTGCCCACTTAGCAATCGCATGATTAGTTACATCCGCATGCATCATTACATATTAATTTTTGGTTACTGGGACTTTTAAGTCTCATTCCCCGTGGTTAATATTTTTACAGGAGCGAATCCGGCCGAGAAAGCACCAGAGGTGTAATTATGGTGTATGAGACACCATCTTTTACGTTGCCTCTTATTTTGGATTATACAATGTATCTTGTGCCAACTTAGGACATATCTTGTCTATGGAGCATGTAAACTCTAATTCTTTTTATTAAATGCATTTATATGTCCAAGAGGATTATGTCTGTCCCTTTTGATTCATGACCTAATTTAAATAACATGCTATGAGGATCATGTCTGTCCCTCATGGTTCTAATTGCTTTTTGAGATATTTTAAGACCTGTGGTATATTGTCTTGGATGTATCATGGTAGAAATTTTTCTACCATGATAAGGGTATGATAAGGGTTCAATGAAAAAAAAAATGATTTCTTGAATTAATAATTTGCGAAAAATCGGTTTGTAAATTTGAGGGTGTTACATGTTACACGAGTCCTATAAGGTCTATTGAGTGTGGTTAGATAGTCGGTGTAGGTTTTGACACTTGTGTGTAAGTTTAGACACTATTATTATAAGTTACAGTGAAAAAGGAGTAAAAATGGGTATGGGTGTTCAATTCTTTGTAGAAAATGAATTTGAGTGTAAAACTTATGCTATTAGCCAGAACCAGGAGAAAGCTCTGTATAGACACTGAAATCATTTTAATCGGACGTTGGACGAGAATTTTAGATGCATTATTGTCATATGATAGCAAAAGTTTGTTATCAAATATTGTGCAATGCGCCCGGCCCATGGTGCCTCACGTCGTGGTGCATGGAATAGAGGCTAATGAGCATGACGTATAGGCACTTAGCCGTGGTGCAAGTGCTATTTTTTGCAATTTTCACTGCTTTAATGATTTTATACAAATGCTTTGATTTTTCTTTTCCCATGCTTTTGTAATGTTTTTTTTAATCTCTAATTTGAGTCCCTTGGAAGTGTTGATAGCATTTTAAATGTTGAAAGTCTTGGGGTTCATTTGCAATGGTTTGAAAATTGTTTCCTCCATTTATAAGTTATGAAAACTTGGTAATCGTTGTTGGGTTTAAACCCTTGATTACCTTAGGATTAATAATTATGGGGTTTAAGTAAGTAGATCTTACATTGGCTATGTCAAAAGCAAGTATTTCTACATCAGATAGGGAGTTGTAAAGAGAGAATGAAAAGAGGGAGGAAAATTAGATCTTCCATGTGATGTCAATAGATATATAGGTCTCAGTTCTTAAAGTAATAGTCATTTGTTTTAAATTAACGATAGAGGTGACATTGTCCCATGTTTAAATATTTAGGGTTAAAAATTTACTAAATACAAGTTTAAAATTTCAATTACCCCTAGACTTATAGTTTAGGGTTTAAATTGTCATTTAACCCTATGAAAAAAATCACATCTAGTTCTATTTATAAAATAGAGATAGAATTTTTTTGTCTATTATAAGTCACATCATTAAATTTTTATCAAGAATAAATTTGGAAGTTTATTTAGTTTTGTGTGAGAGAGAGTTAATAGGGATAAATTTGGAAATTTATTCAATTTTTGGACAAAGTTAATGTGCTTTAAATTTTTTTTAGCTTTCGTTAAAATGTTAAAAATGACCAATGAACATGATTCAAGAAATACTCCTTTCAGTCCAAAATGAAAACATTTTCTTTCAACTAATCTTGATTCAAAATAAAATCAACTTAGCAAGTACTTGTAATTTTTTTTTTGTCTGTGAATTTATGACATTCTCACTTATCATAAATTAAAATTATAAATAAAGAATAATATATATTTTTATAAGAATAATTTTTTTAGTTCATAAGTGATTATTAAAAAATACTAATATGTTAAATTGGAGGAAGTAATGCATATGAGAAGCGAAAGAGAAAGAGGTATTTCATCTAAAACTAAGTTTTATATTTCCTCCATCCTAAATTATAAAATATTTTTAAATAAAATTTTACATATCAATAAAGTTTATTAAATACACTCTACAACTTTACTTTTTTAAAATAAACATATAAACTTTTTAAATTACTTTTTATTTAAATATTTAATTGATAAAAAATATTAAAAAGACAGAATAAATAAAATAATAATATTAAAAAATTATTATTAATGAAGTTTTGTTAAATATTTTTTTAAAAATATATTATAATTCGAGATGGATGAGTACTGTTATACTTGGCACAATGATCAATTATGCTATTGGTGGGTTTTGTGGAAACAATTGTCATTGGGGAAGTCAATCACCTTGCTTATCTATTTATAACAGTTGTTTAATTAATACAAAAACATCATTATCCACTAACAGATCACAAAATAATAGATAAGCCGAGAATGGGAAGGAAGCGACAAAGAGGACGGCACCCTAATCAGAATCCTAAGATTTTCTAACAGAACATTCCGTTTTCAATCATTATTTTTTTTCTCCAAAATGCCAATTTCAATCATCGTCGTGTGATACACGCGGGCCGAAATCGCGTCACTTCAACTCCAACCCCCAAATCTTCCCACAGTGCTCTGCTTTGCTCAACATAAATACTTACGATAGACTCAGGCGAATAGCCCATATATTTTAAACCAAACCAAACCCCTCGTAATTACTCGCATAGAAAACTGAGAGCTCTTACTGGGAGCGAGAAACCGAAAGAAAGTCCCCAGCTCTTCCCGCTTCTTCTTCAAACAAAGAGTGTGGTGTGGGATTACAGAAGCAAGCCATAACTGCGAGGAAAAATGTTCGCCGAAGAGAATGGTCTGAAGGGAGACCCGAGGTTGCAAGCCATCTCGGAAGCCATTAGAGTCGTGCCTCACTTCCCAAAACAAGGTTTTAATTTTTTTAAATGATGTTTTGCTCAGTCTCTGTTACCTCTGTTACCATTTTTTAATGTCCCTTTCACTTGGCCTTGTTGTGTTTTTTATCTTCTTGTTGCAGTTTCTTTTTGAACTTTTATCGAACAGATCTGGAGGTATTATATACATGTTTTTTTTTTTAAATGGAATTTGCAGGGATCATGTTTCAAGATATAACGACATTGTTGTTGAATCACAAAGTCTTCAAAGACACCGTTGATATTTTTGTCGATCGTTACAGAGACATGGATATTTCCGCTGTTGCTGGTATCGTACTCTATATTGAGCGCCTTCTCTATTACATTCATACTTTCTTGATAAAGAAAAAAAAAACATGTTTTGTAAGGTTTCAAAGTTTATCAAACAAATCTTGTGGCATATTGATATTTTGCTGCTGCAGGAGCCAAGGTTGTCCCCTGTCTTTAATAATTTGCGTCCTTACGTTTTTGTCTCGTTACTGGATCTTTTTGCCTTCTTTGAACCAAAATTATTTTATGAATGTTCTAGCTTTCTCGTATCTATCTCTAACTTTTGTTCAAAGAAGATTCGCCCGCTTGTTTATGTAATGATGATTCTTTCATCTCAGTTCATTTTTCTGTATATTTTCGTATACACGGAAAATCAGATATCATCTTCCCTTTTAATACTATATATATTCTCCTACTTTAAAAAAAAATCCCGGCCTTCATTTTAATTGCTTTGGCCTTTGTGCCTCTTTTCTGGGCAAGGCTCGGAATATTTTGGTGCGAGTAAATAAATAATGACTTTTTTGTCGTCCTTTCGAAAAACTTATTTGTGAGGATATTTTGACCTTGAATATTTCTTGACGGTCCTGGCATAGAAGGCACATGTAGGTCTTCTACTAGTCTCGAATGCAAAATGAACTTAAACATGAGCACACTATTCTAAACATAAACTACTTCTGTTTTGGATCCCGTGGAGCACTTGCGCTAAGCATTGAATTTTGGTTTCATGGAGATTTGTATGTAATGAACCTCAAGAGATTACCATCACTGTCATTCAATACAACCTTTTTGGGTACTACCATATGTTTCCTCTGTTTGGTTTATGTGCTCCTGGTATTGAAACTTGGATTGTATGTAGGAGTGGAAGCTCGAGGATTTATGTTTGGCCCGGCAATTGCGCTAGGCATCGGTGCAAAGTTTATTCCCTTGCGCAAACCAAGAAAGCTGCCAGGTACATCTATTTAATTTTGAAAACAAACTCAGACACCATGTGTTGTGTTACTTCGATTTAATTACATTAGTTTTGAGTTGAGATATCAAAACTGTGGTCAAAACAGTACTGGTATTTTCCCCACTTTGGGTTAGAATGGTCTTGTCTGAGTAGAAAGCCCTTGTCTTTATTATATGACTGATGCCAAAGTCCATTGAACTTGACGACTATACGATATTCAATTTCAAATAAAATGTTTATTATATGTGCCCGTAGCATTATATGTGTGAACTAGTCGTGCTGATGGTTCTACTGGGTCTTTAGATTCATGCCTAAACTATGACATGCTTCAAATACAGGTGAAGTCATATCAGAAAAATATGTTCTTGAATATGGAACCGATTGCTTGGAGATGCATGTTGGGGCTGTACAGCCGGGGAACGGGCCTTGGTTATTGATGATTTGGTGGCTACTGGTGGAACTCTATCAGCTGCAATAAGGCTACTAGGTGATTATTTTCTTTACGTTTGGTGTATAGTGTCTTCTCTCGACTCGCCATTGTTCTTTGTAGTTCCTAGAATGCTTCATGGTTTTACCACCTCTGTTTTGTAGAACGTGTTGGTGCTGAAGTGGTTGAATGTGCTTGTGTGGTCGGTGTGCCTGAGGTTAAGGTACTGCCAAAACTTCTTTTGCAAGCTGGGTTTGTCTCACGAGTTAGCTCAATTTTCGATCTTCTTAGTGGTGTGGTGTATTTTTTGAATGTGAAAATTACCTGATATGGTAAAGAACCATTAATGCATGGAGCGCAGTATCATGATCTTTTTTATTTATATATGATATTGATGAGTCTGTATATCTCATGCTGTAGTTTCTTCGCCCCAGAGAATGACTGTTTTCATTTCATCTAAATCCTAAAACTAGAGAAAGTGATATTTGGATACTGGAGGCTTAATGGAAAGCCATTAGTATGCATTTTGCTGTCATTGAGTCCCTCGTCTTTCCATGTAGTAATTTCGTTATCAAGAGATGCCGTGGAAACAATCTTGGTGTGTTGGCCCAAAAAAGTTAAAAAAGGAAAAGAAAAAAAAAAGAAAAGAAACAATCTTGGTGTTATATCTTTATTCTTAGAATTTCGTGGAAGTGAGGTTTAAAGAAATCCGTCAATCTTTCAGGGACATTGCAGGCTTAATGGAAAGCCACTATATGTTCTTGTGGAGCCACGTCAAATGGATAATGGCTTTTAAGGTAACGTCAGTATTTCGTCAGAAATTCAAGCACTGCGTTGAATAGTCATTTAGAAAGTACAGGAAGTCTGCATTTTTGCGATAGTTTAGAGACGATTATCATCAAGTTAAGTTGCCAATTACGGAATTATAACGTTGATGCAG